AAGTATGAAATTATAACGGTTCTCTAGATATAGAGCAGACACAATTTGTTATGGACGGATGGACGGACAGACTGATCACTATAGGGAGACCCACCTTTTGGTGGGGCCCTAACTAAAAATTAAAATACTACTCGAAATAAACCTGAACTCTTTCACATAGATCTTTAAGTAATATCAGTATGTCAATCAGTTTGACGTTCACAATGCAAAATGCAACTCTATCATAAATTTTGAAAACTTACAAAAAACACCATTTGATACTTTACTTCACAATATCAATGAATTACAATAAATAAATGTGGAATGTATCCATGGGACACAGATGATACCCCTGCTTGCATATCATATAAAGGGACATAACTGAAGAATGGTAAAAGTGACACCAACCAATTTCAAACTTGATCTGTATTAAGTGGTAATAAGCATTGTGTAAAAGTTTCATAACATTTGGTGGAGGCAAACTAAAGTTAGAGAACGGAAGCGAAAAACTCAGCAATTTTTATGTTTATAAAATGGCATAACTCAAGAACGGTAAAAGTGACACCAACCAATTTCAAAATTGATCTGTATTAAGTGGTAATAAGCATTGTGTAAAAGTTTCATAACATTTGGTTGAGGCAAACTAAAGTTAGAGAATGGAAACGAAAAATTCAGCAATTTTTATGTTTATAAAGGGGCATAACTCAAGAATGGTAAAAGTGACACCAACCAATTTCAAAATTGATCTGTGGTAATAAGCATTGTGTAAAAGTTTCATAACATTTGGTTGAGGCAAACTAAAGTTAGAGAACGGAAACGAAAAATTCAGCAATTTTTATGTTTATAAAGGGGCATAACTCAAGAACGGTAAAAGTGACGCCACCCAATTTTGAACTTAATCTGTGTTTTGTTGGTTATAAGCATTGAGTATAAGTTTCATAACATTTGGTTGAGGCAAACTAAATTTAGAGAACGGAAACCAATTTTGGGACGTACGTACAGACGGACAAGGGTAAAACTTAATGCCCCCACTGCTACGGCGGGGGCATAAAAATGTCTATTGCCTGATACCATTAACGGCACTGCCTTTAAAAATGATAAAAATCTATAAGGAGTCAAATAAATATTTCAACCATGATGATTTATTTGTAAATCTTGTTTTGTTAGTTTGTATCTACCTATGATCATTTTTGAGATTATAGGCAAAAATGAAAAAAGTTGGTAAATTTTGTCATTTATGAGGGTAATTACTCCTATAAAAAGTCATCTGACAGTTTTGATATCAAGAACAGTAGATAGATCTCACCATTCTGAACATTTCTTCCCCCCCCCCCCCCCCCCACCTGTCAAATTTTCAGAGGAAAATATTTCTTGTAACAGTTAACAGACAATGACATTGGACGCCAAGTGATAAGAAAAGCTCACTTGAACCTTGTCAGGTGAACTAAAAACATAGGTAAGAAAGATGTTATAATATAGTTGACTAGCAAGTGGAATTAGGGATTTCAATGCAAAGATTGGTTACTTGTCAGGTTAACAAATACTAACGTGTTATTATTGCTCCTCTTTAGGATGTTCGCTCCTGTTGTTTTTGAATTTTTGCCAGATATTCGGAATCCTCTGGTTTTATCCATGTAGTGCCATTAAAAAATTTTGACCACAAACCCCTACTTTTCTTTTCATATTTTTATTACATATAGTTTAAAAAGCCATATTTGAAAATCTTATAAAATCTTTGTTATTTTTTCATATTTTTTGAAAGTAAAAATGTGCCAATGTTAAATGTAAGAAAAGTCTAGAGAGAATCACTTCCCGCCAAATTTTCAAAGGCTTATATCTTGAAAACAAGCACACAGCCCCTTCATTTTTTTCTGCTTTTTTAGTTCCTTTATTCATGTAGTTTCAAGAACAGTCTTTCAAAAATCTTGTTATTTTGAAACAGAGTAGCGAACATCCTTAATTTTGTTGCAAGAGTATAAAAACAACTTTTTACACTAACATATACACTTTATTAAAAAATATTTGAAAAAAACATTAAAATTATATATATTTGATACAAAATGATATGAAATGATTTTTAACATGATAATAACATGATACATATTGTACTGAAAATGAAAAATGATATCTTAATAATAGTATTATTAAGATATCTTTATAATACACAATTTATTTAAAAATTAGGATGAGTCTTATGAGTAAATTGCATTTCTAGTGACTTTGATTAGTATCTTGACTTTCTGTTCAATATTTTCCAACTAATACATCCTATAATTACTCAGTTGAAAGCTGAAGAATTCATTTGTAGACAATTTATCTGCATTCATATCATTAAACCTTTATTCTGTGTCTGTTTTTACATAGAATGTTTCTTGTACTTCACTTATTTTTATATCTTTTTGTTTTTTTATATACTTTGGATTTTGGATTTCTGTGTTTTACTCCATTTATTCACAGTACAATCAATCTGTTAAGTTAAAAAAAAAAAACAACAACACTTGACATCTACTGTTAAATTCCAATGATTGAAAAAAAAATGTCCGTTTATACATATAGTCTATATTTTATGAGAACTCAATAGAGCTTGTCTTCAAATTGTATTCTAATTTGCCCATTTTTGAAATTATGGTGAAAACAGTTCATATTTTTTAAGATTAAAGATTTGAATCTTGCTGCTAGTGTAAGATTATTTTATGATATAATCAAAGACTGGAAAAAAAAGGGATTTGATCATATATGTCGGGTGTTGAATCTACAAATTTATGGATTAAAACAAAATCATTTACATGATAATAATATTTGTAAAGAAAACAAAAAAAAACAAAACAATATAAGTGTTTGAAAAACAGTTCTTTTCTAATTTTTGGGCTATTTTCACATTTCTTGATCGGTGTGAGAAAAATATTTCTCCTCACTAGTGAAATATCTGTTCTCTGAAAGTGATTGGTCGAAATTTAATTATGACGCAATATTTTTTTATTTCTTCTGAATTTTCTATTGTGACGTCATGAAAAAAGACGACCATGGCTGATGACGTCACAACTTTCTGCAAATCTTTGAAAAGTAAGGATAAAAATCATTAGAGAAACAGATTCCACCACTATAACTCTTGTATTACGATATTTCTCCACTAACAACAGTTAAATTTTAATTATTTAAAAAGCTCGGCAAGCCTTGCTCTTTAAATATTAATATTTAACTGTCTCGAGTGGAGAAATATTGTAACATACTTGTTGCAGTGGTGGAATCTATATTTTTCCCCTTATATTGAAATGCACAGCACTTGAAAACAAATCAAATAAATGTAAATTATATTGGTATTAAATGTTGAAGTTGGTTTATGACTCAAGTTGACATTTATTGCAAATGTCTATAGATTTCTAAGATCTAAACATGAATAAAGGGATACAACTCAGATTTACGCCAAGAATAATCTAAATCAGCAAAATTTTATACTAATTTAAAATTTTTATATCAGTAAATATTATTTTTGTTTGAATAATGATTCATCAGAGAGTTTTTCATGCATTTACAAATAAAATACAATTCACATCTGAATTTAGAAAATAGCCATTTATATCCTGAAAAGATGCTTTGATATGCAGCTATTTTGGTTTCAAGATGTTTTTTGCAACGTCAAAAATTAACAAATGATCAAAACAAGAAAAAAATTGTTATACTTAAAACATAATATAAATAGAGAATATCATATGGCTTTTTCAATATCACATCCGTATCAACCCGAGACACCAATATAATCCCAAGAGCTCTGCTCGAGGGATTATATTGGTTGAGGGTTGATACGGTGTGTGATATTGAAAAAGCCATATCATATACACTTTATTATATACATATACCTCACGTAGATGTTTTTTTATGTGACATGACGTCATACAGGTAAGGAGGTTTGAAATGACGTCATACAGATTATAGGTTTGACATGACGTCATACAGATTATGGGTTTGATAAAGCCTTTGCAACAGTGACTGTAATCGATGACGTGACGTCATACAGATTAAAGGTGTGATAAAGCCTTTGCAACCGTGCTGATATCGATATCATCACGGGTGGCTGATACAGCACGCTTGCCAATGATTGTATTACACATACAATTTATCAGTATTTAATACTAAGTATATAATAAACAACATTAAAACACAATATGAACAAAATACTAAATAACAATATTTTGATTTTACCTTCCAGAAGAAAATCTGTGTTTGTGAAAGTTTTTATTTTTAAATACTGCTTTTGGACTGATATCTTGTCTTAAAATATTTGAAACCTTTTTTATATTAATTATTTCTTTATCTTTCTAAAATCCTGCACTATCTTCATGAAACATGAAAAAAGAAAGCTTCTTAACTATGACATATCCAATTTAATAAAAGATCAATTTCCGAATTATGAATAACCACAACTCAAGGGAGATAATTCTTTTGATCTTCATTGAAAAAAAAAAAATATTAATACATTCATGTTCTTTCAAACTCAAATTTCCAAGTAGAAATCTCTTTCTCATATTTTCTTTGTTTGAAGAACATTATACATTTAAATTTTGTGTAGTAATAAAGTACAGATAATTTTTTTGTCATCTTTATAACCCAAACATGTAAATAGTGTTTGCTGAATAAAATATTAGAGGTTTGAGAATGCATGCAGAAGTTTTGTACAATTGAAAACAAAAATATTAAAGTTTAAACTATTTTTTTGGCTAGACTATTTTCTTTAATACAGATACTCTATTTTAGTTACCTGACAGGTGAACTATAACCAGACAATAATTGATCTTTTCGAAGTTGTTTAAATAGTTTTCAACAAAATATTTTTGTAGCAGTAAATTATATAGATTATCAAAAAGTTCCCAAATCTGATTAAAACAAAAAGGCAAAAATGGTTTGAATAAATAGAGAAAGCCACAATAATTTTACAGAAAAAAAAATCAAACATTTATTCAATGAAATCTTATTTTTCAATGTCTATATATATATAATGATGATTTCCCTCCCCCCCCCCCCCCCCCCCCCCCCCAAGTACATTGTATTCATGTGTTTGGAATATTTCTCAGAAAAAGTTTTATACAGTCTTTTTCGATATTGAAATCCTTTTAATACAACATGAATATTACAGGTTGTCATTTAAACAAAGGTAAAAATAAATAATGGCTACAAAATATCACAGTCATTCAAGAAATAGAGATTTGATGTTTACAATGATGTTGTCAAGACAATTGCCAATATTATGCCAACAAAGATCAAGAATGGTAACCATGTCTTCAAAAATCCACAAGGACTGAAAAATAACATAACAATTAATTAGTGATACTGATACTGAAAAGGGATACTGAAACATTTTAAAAAATTAAATAAATATGCTAAGCATTAACACAACTTTGAGCATATGTAAGTGAAAGCAAACAGCAATTTTTGGGAAAAGAATAGTTTCTCATAAAATATATTCCTCTAAAATCTATTTATTTACAGATGATATAACATGCAATCATTTTAAACTTTTTGTGATCGAAGTACTTATATGCAAGTTATTCATTTTTTATTCTCATGATTTACCACCGGCCGATATAGAATATCATTAAGCAAACATATGAAGACAAGGAAGAAAATATTTCTATGTAAGAGTAAAATAAAATTAAATTAGAGAATTTAGTCAGAATTGTATGGCAAAGTCTACTAGAAATTATGCAATAATAAGGGCTGTATTTGTTGGAAATAAATTGTATTTCAAATGTTTGCACCTATCAAATTACTATAAAAAAATTTGTAGGAATTTTTTTTTTCTCAATTTTGTCTTTTGTTTTCTGTTTTAACAAAACGTGGGACTAACTCATTTTAAATAATACATGATTCCTGAAAGTGTTGTCACAGCATACCAAATGATGACATTATGTAAGTAGCCCTCATTGACATCTTCAGAATGTTTTGATAAATGTATTTATAGTTTGAGACTCACCAACTTACAAGATGTGATTGAAACTGGATATCCTGACCATAATTTCTCTCGCATAATATTGTAACTAAAATTATATATATTAAAACTTACTTTGTGTATTTTCCATACAGTAACATATACAGACAAAGGTTGACCATATTGAAGGATGTTTTACCATTGTATTTCATTGTGTTCAGTGCCATGGCAACGTGGGAATGGCAATTATCACAACATAAATTATGCTGAAAAAAAAAGATGCTGATTAAATTTCACATGTAACTTTAGTTTAAACAATATTTTATATTTCAAAAGTGCACATATTACAATTATACAATAGAAATACAGGGATTGGGAAACAAGAAAAACTTAAATCAATCTGTCTCTCATAAAAATATATAAATAAACATATAACTTTGAATTAGATTGGATAAAAGGCTGCACTAATTCCTTAAAACCTTGAAAATCTTCAATAGAATACATACATGAATATGTACAAAATATTGTATCAATCCAAAAGGAAACTAGAAAAGAGTCTGTGTAGCCATTTTACCACACATACAAACTATAGTTGCATACATCAATGTCATTTGGTAAATAGTTGACAATAATACCACATCTTCCCATTTGTATTACAACATTATAGATCCACTATTTTCAGTGAATTGATACAATTATATGCAGGCGATTTTTTAACTGTGTCAAAAAGTGTCAACTTAAAGATAATAAATTGTTTTGCCGAGCACAGCTGGATACGACCGCAGAGGTCCAACCCTGAACAGTTGGGGCAAAAATGGACACAATATTCGCACTTGATACAAGTCTGAATTTGCATTGTAATTAAATACTTGACACATAATAGGTTTCTGACACAGAATAACTGTAGTCAAAGAACTTAGAATTGGTTTTATGATTTGAATTTATATTCAATTTTTTGCTTTTGTGCATACACTATGCTGTTGCCAATTGACCCCCCCCTCCCGAAAAAAAAATTGACCCCTCCTTTTTTTGCTTTTGTGCAATACACTATGCTGTTGCGAATTGACCCCCCTTTTTTTGCTTTTGTGCAATACACTATGCTGTTGTGAATTGACCCCCCCCCACAAGAAAAAAATAAAAATAAAAAGAGATTTTCTTTTCTTTCGACGACGTGATACCAATATACTACCGCAAAATTTTTTGCGGTCGTATAAAAATGAAAGTTGTACCGTGACCTATAATTGCTCACATCTACATTATTTGGTCTCTCATGGTAATAATATTTGCAAAGTAAATAACAAAACAATCGATCTTTAGGTATAACTATAGTTTTAAGACTCTCAATCACAAAAGAGCCATTGTATATTCAAATTAACAATCTCAGTATTGATTGTTTGGTTCAAAAAACATGAAAAGCTCATATATGCAGTATACACACATAGATATGATTCTGAAGCATTTTGTATTAACCAAGTTATCTGTAGCACTGAAAACATTCCTACAATCCTCCATGAAGATACAGGATACTTAGAGATATGACTTTAAGGTCCATAAGATATTTTCCTTAATTGATGGAATTGTGTTTAATTTTAACATTCATTTTCCTTGTATTTTACCTGAAAAATGTTAATCTGAACTTTTATAAAACAAGCATTCTGAGAGTATTGCATGGCAATACATAGTCCCCTACCGGTTAAAAATTATTTGTACTGGAACAATATGCTAACTTGATCTATAACTTGTCATGGTGTAAACTATATAAAAATAAATGTGGATAGTGTCCACATGTGGACACAGATGATGCCCCCGCTTGCATATCATATAGTTATAAAGGGACATAACTGAAGAACGGTAAAAGTGACACTACCCAAATTTGAACTTGATCTGAGTTTTGTGGTAATAAGCATTGTGTGTAAGTCTCATAACATTTGGTTGAGGCTAACTTAAGTAGAGAACAGAAACTAAAAATTCAGCAATTTTTCTATTTGTAATGATGCATAACTCTAGAACGGTTGTGTATAAGTTTTACAACATTTGGATGAGACAAACTAAAAAATTCAGCAATTTTTATGTTTATAATGGGACATAACTCTAGAATGGTAAAAGTGTTGCCACCTAATTTCGTACTTAATCTGTATTATGTAGTAATTAGCATTGTGTATAAGTTTCATAACATTTGGTTGAGGCAAACTCAAGTTAGAGAACTGAAACAAAAAAAATGTACTTGATCTTTACTGAGTTTTGTTGGAATGAATATTGTGTATAGGTTTCACAATCTTTGGCTGGGGAAAACTTCAGTTACAGAATGGAAACTAAAAAATTTTGCAATCTTTCTATTTATAAAGGGGCATAACTCAATAATGGTTAAAGTGACACTACCCAAATTCAACTTGATCTGTGTTTTATCAGTGGTAGTCAAAATTAAACATTGCATTGTATAAAGCATTGATTGTAGTTGATTCAACTATAATCATGGTCAAAGGAAGATAACTCCAATTTTAAAAATATATTATATAAACTTGATATTTAGAAGAAAATAAAAATTTTGCAATTTTTCCTTTTATAAAGGGGCATAACTCTAGATCGGTTAAAGTGACACCACCAAAATTCAAACTTGATCTGTGTTTTGTGGTAATAAGCATTGTGTATAAGTTTCATAACATTTGGTTGAGGCAAACTTAAGTTAGAGAATGGAAACTAAAAATTATGCAATATTTCCTTTTATAAAGGGGCATAACTCTAGATCGGTTAAAGTGACGCCACCAAAATTCAAACTTGATCTGTGTTTTGTGGTAATAAGCATTGTGTATAAGTTTCATTACATTTGGTTGAGGCAAACTCAAGTTAGAGAACGGAAACCAATTTCGGGACGTACGTGCGTACGTACGTACGTACGTACAGACGGACAAGGGTAAAACTTAATGCCCCCTCCGGTACGGCGGGGGTATAAATATCAAGTCAATATCTTCAAGCATGATGACAAGTGTTGAAAACTGTTCAAGTGAATTTTGTAAATCCAAGGACCATAACTCTGCACAATATCATCAGACCGGAACAAAATTCGAATTTTTCGTCTGTAACTAGTCATGATAAAACTATATACCAATTATCAATTCAATATCTTCAAGCATGATGAAAAAAAGTGAGGAAAACTGATTATTTGAGTGAATTTTCTAAGTCCAAGGATCATAACTCTGCACCAGAACAAAATTCGAACTTGATCTGTAACTTGTCATGATAAAACAATGTACTAATTATTAAATCAATAACTCCAAGCATGATGCAAAAAAGTGCGGAAAACTGAATATTTGAGTGAATTTTCTAAGTCCAAGGACCATAACTCTGCACAAAATTATAATTATCAGACCAGAACAAAACTTGAACATGATCTGTAACTTGTCATGATAAAATAATATACCAAATATCAAATCAACATCTTCAAGCACAAAGAAAAAAAGTGTGGAAAACTGATTTGCCGGACTGACAGATGGACAGACAGACAGACAGACGGACGAAGTGCAAACCTAAAGTCCCCTTCGACTTCGTCGGTAAAGGACTAAAAATGATATGAGAAATACAAATACATAAATAAGAAAACAACCCAACAAAATAATATTGTATTCATAACTTAAAAGATAGGTAATAATACAAACCATTCTGTGTTTATATTCTTCACAAGAGTCCATCACTCCACGATCCCAGGACTCTTTACCATTATTCACTTTAGCCAAGTCTAGCTGCCAATATCTGATAAGAAAAAATAGTTATAGCGTTAAAAAAATTTCTATTACAGACTTAAAGATTTCAGCATTGCTAACATATTAGCTCATACATTAAAGAAAAAGAAATAAATATTAAAACATAACGTCTCCCATCCTAAAAGGACAGGCATCATACAAGTGGTATAGTGTACATCTGTTATACAAATATAATAAAGTAACTATTTATAACTGCATAGATGTACATGTATATCATAGTTCGTTACTTAAACTTGTGTATACCCAGGCCTCACACATGTAGTAATCATTATAAACCAATAATGGGGAACAATTGCAACAGTATTTGACTAAACTGACAGATATTACCTTTATAATGCTTATCAACTTCTGGATTCATGACAAAAATGGGTGCCAAAATTCTATCTTAATAAAAGAAAGTATTAAGTTCCATTCTATAACAATTATTTTATCAAATTTATATAAGATGCTGATGTACATATATATATATATATATATATATAAAAATAAAGAGATGTGGTATGATTGCCAATGAGACAACTATCCACCAAAGTTCAAATGAAGTGGATGAAAGCAATTAAAGGCAACCATATGGCCTTCAAAGATGAGAAAAACCCATACCGTATAGTTGGCTATAAAAGGCCCCGACATGAAAAATATGAAACAATTCAATTGAGAAAACTATTATAGCCTAATTTAAAACTAAACAATTTATGAAAAATAAAATATGACAGACATGAACCAACGACAAACAATGAACTTCAGGTTCATGACTTGGGACAGGCACATAAAGAATGTGGCGGGGTTAAACATGTTTGTGAAGGCTCAAGTTTCAAAATACATATAATTCAGCAACAACTAAATGGTGTTTTTTTTAAGTAAAATACTTTTTGTTAATACCTCCATGTATAAATCCAGAACCTTTCCTTAAAATTAATGGTAGGTGATGATGATGATGGATGTCTGCTTAATGTCCAGCAGCAAATTAAATGCATATTCAGGGCGAGAACATGTTAAAGATATATGAATGGTAACCCTGCTTTGTATTAGACTGCCATGCTGAGTCTGATTTTTAACGTGCTAGTTCACAAGGTAAATGTCAATAAGAAGACATGTCACCATACCCAGACACATTATTCTGACTCTGAGTAAACCAGCCTTTGCTCTTACTCCTTAACATGCTTAATGCTACATGCTAAGGGGAGAAAAAGCAAGTAACAATTTTAAAGTCTTTGGTTTGAAGCGGCAGGGTTCTAATCAACAACCTCCAGCACTCAAGGCGGTTCATTAAAGGTAGATATCTTCAACTTCAGAAGACAAGACAAAGCTTACATGAAATGTGTGACACCAGTATTTTGGGTCATTCCTATTTAGAAAAAAAAACGTACATTTTACTTTTATTTATCTCAGTACATACTTACTTTACAGGGTTTCCAAAAGCCATATCATCTTCCTTAAATTAAAGAGCAATATTAAAATAATCATTTACATATCAATTAGAGAGATAAATAGCATTTTGAAACAATTTACACATTCTGATATGAAAATCAATTGATTAGATTAAATTCTAAGTTTTTTCTACAATTTTTTTTCAGTTGCAGTGTTTTTTATCTATGGTATTTTGACCACTTTACCATCAAAGTGATAAATTTATTTCGATTTATACATAAATGTTTCTTCTTTTTGAAATCCAATGTGTTCAATGCTTTCATTATAACATAGAAATGAATCTAAAAATGTTGTACTGTCATAAATAAGACAAATTATGCAACTACAAACTGTATTTATATCTTCGTCATTTGAACTCTGGTAGATAATTGTCTCATTGGCAATCATACATCTCCTAATTTATATAAAATTAATACAATAATAATTACTTTGTAGGGACTTCACAACTCCATACATATACATACCAGTAACACTTCATTGTTCAAATATTTTTTGGTCCTGACCACCAAAATTTTGCAAAGGACTGAGTTCGAGACCAACACAATTTTTAGATATTTTACAATAGAAATAATAATGAGGACCTGCAGTTTTTCTTCAAGGACCACCCATGAAAAAAAGATTTCAACATTTGATGTTCCATCAGCTAACATTTGAAGTGGTTTTACGTTTTTGAATTGATTTTAGTAATCATCTGACACTTCTGAAAGTCTTATTATTTTTTTCTAATTTCTTTGTCATTTTGCAGTGTAAATTATTTGTAATATTATAACTATATAACAGAAACTATTGATTAAGAATGTCGTTTTTTTATTTATTTTTTAGGAGGGTAACTTCATCATACATATGACACATTTTAAGCTTTTTTAAAGCCAAGAGTCATATGTCACGAATTGAAAACTAACCGAGACATAATAAGGGCCAGCAAAGTCTCTAATAACTCCTGTGCTAGTACATATTCCCATATGTCCTATAATTGGAAACAGCCATCTGGAATAAAGAACATATATTTATAATAACTTTACAAATTTATGACAAACAGTTTCAGTATTAAATAAAGTTAAACATAATTTAGACCTACCCCAGCAAATCAAACATGCTCTTACATATATGACCATGATGACATAATATTGGGTAAAATATAAAATTAGATGTGGAATGATTGCCAATAATTATGATAAGACAACTATCCAACATATAAAATGTACTGTGGATTCATTATTATTCGTTGGATACCAATTTTCGTGGATTTCGTGATTATAGGTTAACCATGAAATTAAATGTTCAACGAATGGCAAATTTACTATAGGCTTGTACATTGTTGTATGCAGACATAGTCAAAACCACCAAATTAAATATCCACTAACATGCAAGTTTTCCTTAATCCACGAAAATTGGTACCCACGAAAATAAATGAATCCACAGTATATAAAAATAAAAAGATAGGTATGATTGCCAATGAGACAACTCTTCACCAGAGACCAAATGATGTAGTAGTCCAAATGAATTTAAGCAATTATAGGTCAATGTGCAGCCTTCACAATGAGTAAAACCACTACCAATTATATCAAACATCATTTTAAAGTTTGTTGGCTTTCATGCCACTTTCAATGAACATGGCTTTATCATCAGTTTTAAGTAGCAGAGTTTAAGCCAGAGAACATGGAGTTTTACTCATTCTTCAAGAAAACTGGCAACACTTGTCAATAAAGATTGGAGTTGAACACACCTTCCATGAGCAGTGTTCATTATCACAACCACATGCTGTGACCATTCTATACAAATGTAGCTCTTCACCAAAATAAAAAAAACATATATATTTCTTATTTCGACCATTTTACATGTTTTAGGAGAATAAAAATAACAATTGTGGTGAAGTGGTATACTTTACTAATACATATATGGTGATTCAGAGAATCTGCTGAGATTTAGAAAGGACTTTTCTGGTTGCAAATGGCCCTTTTCAACATGTTCAAGGCAATCAATATGTTACAGAGGATCTACATTTGTTGTATGTACATGATGTACATAGGAAGCATTCTAACATTGTCTACATGGTCTAAGACAAAAAATATTCTTATGCAATTGTTTTGACAATCTGTTACTACACTGTGCAGTAAGACATGTGCTTCTTTTAGAGGTATCCTCAATGGTTCAAAACGAAAAGGCCCTTCAACTGTTAGTTTGGTACAATGAAAAAGATAATAACAAAATATTGTGGCCCCAGTGAATTATCAATATAACAAGCATTCTGAGAGTATTGCATGGCAATACATAGTCCCCTACCGGGTAAAAATTCATTATACTGGAACAAAATGCTAACTTGTTCTATAACTTGTCATGGTGTAAATAAAAAGTAAATATCATGTCAATATCTTCAAGCATGACTAAAAACAGTGTGGAAAACTGATTATATGAGTGAATTTTTCAAGCCCAAGGACCATAACTCTGCACAATATTATTAGACTGAAACAAAAATTTGAACTTGATCTGTAACTTGTCATGATAAAAATATATACCAATTATCAATCAATATCTTAGTCAGGGATATAACTCTATAGGGTTATTACAGAAAAATAACATACATTTGTTATTGTGGACTAAAAAGTCAAAGAACTGTGATAACATATGTATGTTACATGTTTCATAGGGACAATATACATCATTAGTTTAGATAAAATGTATACAAGTTCTATTGATATTACTATTGTCTTTATGTATACTCAACTATAGAAAGATATAACAGTTCACAGTTTGCCAATTATGCAATCTACACCTATGTTATTACAGAAAAAATATGACTGTAACTAAAGGGTGTTATCACAGCTTCTCTACATCACTCCAAAGCTTTTTGGTAAATAAAAAATGTATTAATGTAATTAAAACATTAGTTATCAAGGCTATGTATTTAGTTTCTGCGCAAAGTCTCAAGAGTTCCCTAGAGCCCACTATAGATTAAAATATTTTTGATTTATTTTACAAATAACAAACATATGTTATTACAGATTTAGAAAATTTAAGGAATAAAGAGTAGACAACCCATGAAAGTATCTGTAATAACAAATGCAAGTTATTTTCTGTAATAACCCTATAGAGTTATATCCCTGACTGTCTTATAAGCATGATGAAAAAAACATTAGATATGATTAATAGTTCTCTAAAATTAGATATGATGTAATGTACAGTGTATATCTATTTTCAAATTATAATCAGATATAGTTATTTAATAGTTCCAAATATGTTTTTCTTTCATTTGTCACAAACCGATATAAATTTGTAACTTATCTATAAAATGTCAACAACTTTGTACACAATGTAATGTATTGATATATATACATTAATAAAAATAGATTATTATCTAATTAAAGGATTTATCTTCATAATTTTTTTTTATATATATATAGCATTCAGAAAATTAGTTTATACTAAATAATAAACAAACCTGTCAAAAAATTCTTCAAATAATTTAACAAAGAATGTCTTTTAAAAAATGAGTTATCTCCCTTTGTACAGAAATATGGTTTAACATAGTACTCTTAACATTAGATATGGTCCAGAGTTATGGTCCATAACTCTGGACTTAATCATCAGACCGGAATAAAATTTGAACTTGATCTATAACTTGTCATGATAAAATTATATACCAAATATCAAATCAATATCTTCAAGAACGAAGAAAAAAAGTGTGGAAAGCTGATTTGCCGGACTGACGGATGGACAGACGGACGGAGTGCAAATCTAAAGTCCCCTTCGACTTCGTCGGTAGGGGACTAAAAAAATGTCAACTCTATTTTATTTTTGGCTGTGCCATCAGGGAAATTAATATTTCAGAGTTGATAATTTTTGATATTCACCTTTTCTACAGTCATTGACAGTCCATAATTGTATATTGTGTTTATTGTTATAATGATTATTCTGCTCAGTAATGGGCGCTATGATTGGCATAATAAAACATCTCATATCTTGTATAATTTGGAATCGTTTTTTTTCTGTAGTAGTATTATCATTGAATAAATAATTTACATGAACATTACACATTACAAGCATAAGCTCTGTAGAGATTTTGACGACATTGCCTGTAGTATCCTCATGATCATCTCATGGGTTCTCATGCTACAAAAATGTATTAAAAATGCATTGTGACGTCATAATTCCCATTGAAAAAGCATGCATAGTACGAATTCATATGACGTACAAAAACATATGATCTGACCCGATGCAGGTCGCAACGTCCATATTGCCATGACGTCCATAGGATGATCAGCCATACCGTGAAAAGATGTATCGGCCATAGGACAATATTGTCGATATTTTGTGCATGTCCATGTTTTTTTCCGGAAATAAATTTTATTTATAAAGTATTGTGTGATATATGCATGTACTGATGATGTAGATGGTTATTATAACTTGTAAATGTATTATGCTGTATTTACACTATTTGTCAGATCATGTTTTTAAATGTTATACATTTGGAATACGCATTACATATATCATATATAACATGTATAAATGTGCTTTATCTAATAAAATATTTATTAATATATCTTGCATAAAACAAACTGAAAAAAATAAGACAACTAAAAATGAATATCCAAAATGGGAGATCATCTAGATGAAATGTGTCATACAATATATCAGAAAAATTGAAGGTTCTGCTGGCATAAACAGTCAGGGGGCTTACTTAAATGAGTGATTTTCTAAATCACTGATTCAAGTAACATTATGTACATAAAGGTTGGAAGTAAGAGTTGTCTTTCTTTAATAATCACCTATTTAAGTAGTACAAATTAATCACTAGACTAAGTGATTTAATTTTATTGTAGCTTTAAATATAGAATACTAATGATCCAGGAACTAATTATGTTGCTAAAATTATCAGAACCAACATCTGTGTTGATAGGATGATCAGGTCATGTCAGGTGATGACCTTGTACTAAATCTAGGATAATGACATAAAAATCACTTGTTCAAGTATCATACCTCAATTTCCTTCCAAAAAATCACTTCTTTAAGTATCATTATTTTAATAACCCCCACTAATTTCAACACCCCCGAACAGTGAAATTTTGATCGCGAACAGTAGAATTTTATTACATAATCTATAAGATGAAACCTTGAATTTTACAGGAAAAATACTCCCACTGCTGGGAAAAATCTGTTGAGAAAGTATCAGTTCATTATGTAAAACCATTGTTATAGCATTTTTTTCAAGTAAAATAGAATTTGCAGCTAAATGATTGCATCAAAGGCAATAACCTTGATGCTTAAAAGAGGCAAAAAGTTCATTTTTTTCAATTTTACTAATGAAAAGATATTATCTTAAGCTATGTGTTTAAAATTTTGGTAAAACTACAAAATCACAATTTGTGACAAAACTTCGAATTTGCTACTTAAATAAGTGATTTAAAAATCACTTATTTCAATAAGTCCACAGACTGATAAAGGCCCAAGAAAAACAATGGATAAGAAAAATGTAAGGGTCTGCATACATCAGGTTCGTATGAAGACACACAGGCCCGAGAAATGCAAGTTAATTGATTAAAATTGAGTTCAGCAGACACCAGGTTTTCAATATGCCAGATTACCGATTTTTAAGTGTTCGATAAAAAGAAAAACACAATTTTCTTTTTTTTTCTTGTATTTGCATATACGTTTGTTTTATGAGCAATAATTCGGCATATTTGAGTATAAATTATGACAAATGACCATGAATGGGAATTTTCAATATTAAATAAGAACGTATTGTCAGAGACATAATGTCTCTGGTATTACAGATGGAATATGCTGTTTACTCTCTACTCTCTGATCATGCTGATTGAAAGCTGTAAAACGATTTTCAAAGTCATAGTAGGGATGAATTTTAAAAGCATTACCTTAAAACCAATTTTCTATGAGTCTACTCGTCTTCAGCAGATGTACATGTACAGAAGCAAAAAAAAATCATATTTATGTTAGAACTACATGTATGAAATAATATTACTTCTTGTTTTATTATATTTTATGTTATAACCACAAGGGAATAAAGTATGGACCATACATCCTATGGACGTTGTGAAAGTATGGCCGTCGCCTCTTGAAAGCATCTGACCATATATGAGAAGAGGCGAGGCATGTTAAAGATAACACCTATATAACTACACTAATTTGAAGATCACTACCTTTTGATATTTTACAACAAATATCAAGAAAATCCCAACGAATATATACATTTATAGGTGTCAGACCACCAATTCACTCCCTCCAATTTACAACGTATGTAAAAGTAGCCCTACTCTGACACAAAATAGTGCTTTTGATGTCATTGTTTACTTAAACCAACCAACAAATTTGCAGAAATGAAACTTTTGGTGAAAGAGAAATATACTTAGACCATTTTGAGCCAAAATTTACTTGTCTATGAGTTTGCATTAAAAATTGAGGATCAATGCACTCCATAGTATACTAATTTAAGATTTCCAGAAAACCAGGGGTTATTTTTAGTAGTACTTATCATGTGATGGGCAATTTTTCTTAGAAGACTTTAAACATGGGTTCAAAATTGGCATGTATAAAGGTGATACATGTACAATTAAGGATATACCTGGTTTCTATGAAGTCAAACTTAAGGTAAAATATTTAGAAAGATGTGAAAATAACAAAATTTGGTTGAATAGATAGGGATTTTGAATTGGTGGTCTGAAACCTTTAATGTATATAAATAGTGTTTTTACAGTTTTACCTTAATTTCAGTACCTCGAATGACCAGCTTTCTGTTAATCATTTTTAAGTTATACAATACACTTATAATATAATATTATTTAATAATCACTGTTTAAAAGTCAACAATATGTACTAATATTAAAATTTCAAGTGTTATTCGGTCATTACAAGTGTTATTTGAATAATAACGGTGTTATTCGGTCATTCGTGTTACCCCCCTAATTTTACTTTTTCTTGAAACTGAAAGTGATTGTTACACGAAAATTTCAGAACAGCTTACGTAAGACATGGTATTGGTGTCCAGACAATGCAGTGCGGGTACCGCAGTTTGTCATGGTCAATTTTTTGACTGCCATAGAGTGGCAAATGACCAGGCATGTTGATTGCAGTTTTTTCTTGATTTTCGAATGTTTTGGTTTCAGCCATTACCGGGATACTACATTGAACGAAGGAAGTTATATGGTTTATATTGTTAATATCATTGAATTATAGATGAAAAAAATGTTTTTTATAAACAAAAATATTTAAATAGGATTTATCAAGGTATATTTAAATAAATTTCCCTTGATTTAAAAATTTGCTGTTTATTGAAACATATAACAATAAAGTTTCCCTAATTAGACAGGAAAAGGAAAAATAATAGAGACAAATACGAATACGGGTAAATTCAAAATCCGGATTGTAGTTCAGAAATTCACCTAGCTTGGCTACTAAAAGAACTACTGTGCTTGTACTACGTTGCATACATTCAGTTCACAGTTCCGTTTTATTTTACATGTTCCATATGCTTATAACTTAACTCAGCTTGTTCATTCAGTTATGCTAAAAAAAGAAATGTACAATAAAGGACTTATCATTTTTTATCTGGGAGGGGGGCTGGTCAAAATGCAGGGGGATCAAGTTTTTTTCTGTATGTGGAAAAGGGGGGTTCAAATTTTTTATAAATTCAGATCAATATTATTTGCACATGGATATTAGTAGTTCATATACTTCAAGAGACAAAATATCAAGAAGAACATTATAAAACAGTCAAACTTGACGAAAATATATCTTGAACACCATTCATATACAATTAAGTAAGACATCACAAGACTTTGGTGATGTAGGAAGCTGCCATTTTGTGCCAAAATGCATACGTGCTTCATAATCCGAATTATTCAGTCGTTATATTTCACTCACTTCGATCACTAAATTGACAAGCATTACTGCCAAGTTTTGTTATAATCAGCTTAATAGTTTGAGAGAAATTAAGTATAAATTAAAACGAAATCTGCATGCAGCGATTTGTACAAAATTTTGTCCAAAAATACAAATCACTCCGCATCATGAAAGAATATAGTGTAGAGCAATATCTTCTCCAAAAAAATGAATGATTAATTAATGCATACAAACAGTTGAATATTGATACAAAAGATGATTCTGAGATGATGAACAACCCTTATTTATCTTTTTGTTTTCATTACAAGATCCCTTTAACTCCATTTATACCTCACACTCCCTCAAAATTTGTACTTTTTAGGCTAATAAATCTAAATTTTGAGGTTACTATCACACATTTATGAATGAAATGTGACAATAAATGAGTAATTGAATTGTTCAAGCTGAAATGAACTATCCATATAAAAGTTTAGCGACTCAATGGAGGTTTCAATAAGGCCTTAAGTTTAATCAGCGTCCAAGAGAGAGACATATAATAGACCCCTCTTAGTAAATAATGTGTTGTTACTGTTTCGAAAAGTTAACTTTTTAATGTAAATTTTTACAGAGTTACTTAGGATCAAGTTTTCTTTAATAGCCCAATATAGGAAATTAGAAAAAAAGTCAGAATAAGCTACTCAAAGCACAGGCTTGCTCAACTTCTAATATTCATGGAAGAGCCCTATTTCAAGGCAATCATGTTTCCCTCAAATATGTTTTTGGACTCAATCCACTGAGAATATTTCATTTTCAATATGTTCGTGAAATAAAATGATAAGTGTTTTGCATGTTAAAATTTCGGCATGTTTAATAGAGGGGGATCACATTTTTAAAATGTTTTCACAGGGGGGATCAAATAAAAATAGTGAAATATTATGGGGGGGGGGATCAAGAAATTTTGTATTTTTGATTTCAAAATGACCAGCCCCCCCCTTTCCTAGGTAAATAATGATAAGTCCCTAAATCCGTAAACACTTATTATCGTCAGAGACATATAATACATATATTGTATTATATGTCTCTGTTATCGTGAAACTGCGGAAAGACTTTTCAGCATTAATGCCAATAATGGATCCAATATAAAAACAAGTTTTCATGTTTTCGATCTCACGGTGACCGATTCTTTTAATAAATGTTAATGAAGTATGGGGAAGTTTAATCCTTTTCTCCACTGAAATGCAAGAAGAAGGATGTATCTTTTGAAATACTAGAAAACCATATTCAGGTTCAACTTATACTCTGTGCGAAACCTTTTGTCCAATTTATTTCAATATAATCAACGAATCCTATTTGTATCGCTTAGAGAATTAAGGAAATACTTTCCTATATTAAACTGAGAGGCTCACACACACACACACACACTAGTCCTTACAAACCAAATGTGGTCATATAAACTGATAGATGCTGCTTTTATTTTCTTTTATGCAAATATTCTTATATCCTAAATGTGGCTTCCCCTGATTTCAAGTTGCATATAAATAAGAAGATGTGGTATGAGTGCCAATGAGATAACTCTCCATCCAAGTCACAATGTGTAAAAAGTAAACAATTATAGGTCAAAGTACAGCCTTTAACACGGAGCCTTGGCTCACACCGAACAGCAAGCTATAAAGGGCCCCATAATGACTAGTGTAAAGCAATTCAAACAGGAAAATAAACGTTCTAATCTATATAAAAAACGAGAAACGACAACCATAGAACAACATGCTTCTGACTTAGGACAGGTGCATACAAATGCAGTGGGTACATACCTGAGGATGTTGTCATTTAATACCCTCAAGGTATAATCCCCTTGTGTCAACTGTAGGGGAGAAATCCGTTTGCACCAGAAATGCGTCCTTTTGCGCTACAGCTCATTTGCGCCAATGTAACGTTTGCGCCACAAGTTTTAAAATACATTGAATCGTTTGCGCAAACAAAAATATATAATTGCGCCAATTAATTAAGATAAAAATAATGACTTCACTTCTCTTATTTAACCTGGTATGAATCTGGTATGGGACCAGCAGTTTACATTGGCGAAGTTAAGGTTATTGCTTCGATAATACTAACATGACTAATTACAAACTTTTCTTAAATTTTCCGTTGATCTGCCCAAACCAAAATAAATAATTAAGAAACTAAGGTTCAAACTCCCTCGGGCAAAGTTGACCTTAGATGAATTTGGCTATTTGATATTCCTTTTGGTCATACAGGCTAAACTCTTTACGTGTGCATTTTTCTTTGGCTTTTAAATAGTCATTTTTTTCATTATATTTATTCTTTTACCACAATATATGAAGGACTACTATGAAAATATTGTACAGGTAAATTGGCGCAAATGAATTCCGTAAATTGACGCAATTGATACCTTTGAAAATTATTATTTGGCGCAAAAGATTCGTATCTTGAAAATTGCAATTGGCGCAAAAGGACTGCTGCTATTTGAGATACCATTCTGCTATCTAACTTGCTGTTGACACGCGAAGGACTGTAAACATACGAAGAACAGTAAACATACTGAACGTTCTGGGCTAGTCAATTATTATTTTATCACTTAATTTTATTGTACATTCTTCAATTGCATGTTTCAATTTCGAATTATTGATGTTATTATTGTCATGTTAAATGTGTATACCCTTTAGGGCCCTTGTTTGGAAACCTTTTCTTCTTTGTACAGAAGATAACAAATACTAAGTATCCTGGTTTTATTCTTATCAATTGACGAAAAAAAGAAATCGACTTATTTCGACGAATAAGTGTATTTTAGCACAAATCAGGCCGTTGGTTTTCTCTTTTGATTTTTTTTTTATTTTGTCATTCCCGGGCATTTTATATCTTATCATACGGTATGGGTTTTGATTATTGTTAAAAGCTATATATACGTTTCAACAATAATCAAAACCCATACCGTATGATACGATATAAAATGCCCGGGCATGACAAAATAAAAAAAAAATCAAAAGAGAAAACCAACGGCCTGATTTAGGGGAGGGTTGAGCGCTTGTAAATATGTTTAACACTGCCATCCTTTATGTGCCTGTCTCAAGTCAGTAACCCCGTAATTCAGTGGTTGTTTTTGGTTGTTTTCGGTTGCTTTTTATCATATTTGTTATTTTTTTCGGTTATTGTTTTGTACATAATAAACTAATCATAGATACAGAAACTAAGGTGACTCCCTCAGGCAAAGTTGACCTTAGATGGATATGGCTATTTTTTAGGTCCTTGTTGGTCATATAGCTCTTCAATGGTTCTTATACATCATTGGCTTTCAAATATTCTGCTTTGATAGTTCAGAAATAAGGTAAATCCAGAAAAGCGCTTCGGATGCATGAACTGTTTAATGTGTTGTTTTCATTTTTACTATACGGTATGGGTTTACCTCATTGTTGAAGGCCGCACAATTATCTATAGCTGCTTACAATAACGTCATTTTGGTCTTTAGTGCATAATTGTCACATAGTCAATTATAACACATTTTCTATATTATTCATAACATTTGACCAATACGTGATAAAGCGACAAACGTTCTGAAATGATTGGAACAAGCCATTCTGAAGAATACATATACGTATACTTTGAAGCTTTTGTGACCGTAGACAAACTGAACCATTGTACGAGAATTTATCATATTAATTGACATGTGTTCGTGTTGCTCATAGCAAGTACTCGTTTTGTGAAAAGTCTCATTCGGCGAGGTCACTACAACAATTGGAACATATCCATTGTCTTTTTTCACACTGACAACCAAATCATGATGGCGTCCGTAAAACCTTCGATTGGATGACTCCAACTTACGCACTTGAAACCCTTGGTTCAATAGCTTCATAGTAAGTAATTATATCTCTATAAAGGAAATCATGACAGGAATTAACGCAAACTCTGGAATATCGTATTTAGTGCTGATGGAATGTTGCTACATTAAAATAGAAAATTTGTCATGAATATGAAAGCTGAAATCATCTTTTTGTTGTAAACAGTAGTTCTCTTCTCAACCGACCCTCATTCTTCTAGAACTAGGTCAATATATATGAGGCAGACTAAACTTTTTTTTGTAGTAAAACTCTTTATTTCACATTTCTAATGCAGACACATAGACAGAAAATAAAACTTACTTTAAATTATATAGTCAATGTGTCGACTGAACAAATGAAGTAGTAGCTTATTTGTTTTGCTATAAATTAGGCCGTTAGTTTTCTCAATTGAATTGTTTCATATTTTCATAGCCGACTATACGGTATGGGGTTTTCTCATTGTTGAAGGCCGTACTGTTGTCTATTTCTACTTACAACCACTTCATTTGAACTTTGGTGGATAGGTGTCTCATTGGCCATCAATTGTTTGTATTGGAATATTTGTAAAAAATGGATGCAATTGTTTTGTATTCTTTTATTTTAATTTTTAATGAAAAGTTGTGTATTAAAACATGAATCATTACATTTTGTGACTGGCATAAAGAAAATATTCAAACATCATCGATAAAAAGCATTTGCACTTATTCTATCATGTATTTGAACATTAGTAGAGCTACAGACATCAGTTTTCAGATGTATAGTGTACATGAACTGTTTCCCTAAGTTGACATCTTCTGTTGCTTAGCCGATAAGCCAATTTCCTGTGTACCTTTCTTAGGAATTTAACCTTGAAACGTCTTGGAGGTGTAAAATCCAACGCTACAATGAAGCCAAAAATTAATGTAATCAGCATAATTCCAATACTCCCAAGAAATCGAGAAGAAACCCTGGAATCAGGAGCACTCGTTTTCGCTCTCAGATAGGAAGATAGTGTTGATTTATCCAATTTAAGGTCTTCTACTATGACCTCAATCGTTGTCGAGGTTATATTTGTCAGGACTTTCTCATCTTCACAACATTTACAACTTGAGTGTCTGGAACAGTAACATGATGTATCATGAGAATTTTTATCTGAAAAAGATTATTATTTTTTTTACTTGACTGGGGAAACTGATGTACCCCTGTATATGGGATAGAGTTTGTCATGACAAATGTGTGTATTGCCCGAAAAAAAAATGCACATAACGTGTTAATTCACCAATGCTAAATTATATTAGTGCTTTATAAGAATATTATCACTCAGATATTTCCTATTTGTCGATAAATTTATTTTTATTTTTTGCAATTTTAAGCCATTTAGAACCAGAAAAATGTTTACCCCTCTCAATAAAGGTTACATATTACTATACATTGTATTGCTCACATTAGAAATCTTCCCGATCATTAGACAAACGGAATAAAATAAATATACGTTCTAAGAAACAAGTTTGCGTATATGTAGTACATGTCCAACAGTATATGTAACCTATTAATGTACCAGCTTATTAATATGAAGGTCTAGATGGGGCTCCTACAAATCTATATTCTTTAATTTTCAAGCCGTTTTTCTCTATTCTTTATATTTTAACACCCCATTATTCTCTATTTTTATGTCTATTTTTGTCTATTCTTTATTTGTTTTGCCTTTTATTCTCCACTGTTTGCCCATTATCCTCTGTTCTGTAAACCACATTCAGACCCTCAAATATAGTCAAAATGTCTTGAAGACTTTAATTACCTGGCCATGGAATGTCCAGTGCATCTACCTGACAAAGAACGCCGGTTTTTAAAGTACAAGGAATAGCTCTCACGGTAGTTTTATCCTCGTGTGATATAACAACACAACCAGCATATAAAAGAGGGTTTGTCTGGAACAGTTCACTGTCGTTGTTGTAACCTGTTAAGATAATTCAATGTTGGTCTCAATTGAAAATAGATAAGTAAAAAATAAAATATATTACAATTATTTAGAACTGCATCAGAAAAATATAGCACAGACAAACACACATGTGTTATATCATTTGCATATCCGCTGGACAAAAGGTCCTTTATGGCTGAAAATTTGTGTTTTTAGTACCATATTTCTGAATTTTTACTGTCGCCTCTTTTTATCATCTCCGCTACCTCTTGAAAATCATGGATGCTGTACTATATATATATATACACAAACATAGTTATGGAGTTCTACAATAACCAGTATCGAATACTTTGTGAGTGACTGATTTTACACACTAAAACGTCTTTTACTTGTAGACTTCAGCGGAACGTCTGCAAGTAAAAAAACGTGAAACAAATTATATTGCCCAATATTTTGTTATTTGCTTCAGCATCTGCTATTATTTTACATATGTTATATATACCTACCGATTTTTAGACTCAATTTGAGGATGAGTTCTGCTCTTAGCCGTTTAAATGGATATTTTTCTCACGAACCTATCATTCTAAAAATTCTAAATGGACATAAAACATTTAACCGCTAAGCAAAAACTACAGAAGTCATAGAACCTGGTCAATAAATGTATGTCATTTGTTGTTCAACATATTTGTTCAATCAGTTCTAAAATATTACAAAAACAAGAATGTGTTCATAGTACACGGATGCCCACTATCATTTTCTATGTTCAGTGGACCGTGAAATTGGGGTCATAACTCTAATTTGGCATTGAAATTAGAAAGATCATATCATAGGGAACATGTGTACTAAGTTTCAAGTTGATTGGACTTTAACTTCATCAAAAACTACCATGACCAAACACTTTAACATGAAGCAGGACAGACGGACGAACGGACGAACGGACGCACAGACCGAAAAACATAATGCCCCTCTTCTAACGTAGGTTGGGCATAAAAAATAATGTTAATATTTTCTTCATTTTAAATTGTAGCTTGCCTCTGACTGAAAACACATAAAAGAATTAACATATCAGCTGATTTTAGTTTACAAATCAAATCATTCTGGTTTTCTGACAAAAAAATATTGAATTTACTTGGAGTCAAACTTGTGTAGTCCTCCAGTGGTGAATCATCTAACCAAGTCCAATATCGGTCTTTATTTGGATCATACAATCCAATCCAAAACGAAGTTAGACTAAAAAATAAACCAACTATTATCACACTGATCTGTGTCCACACTTGTTAACAAGAAGAAAATAATTGACATAATTCTTTACATATTAAAAAAAATGATATTTACTTTGAGATATGTTTGTAAATTGGTTTAGTCTATATATGTGCTTTGTATCAGATGTGGATTCTTAAGACAATTTATTGAATTAATGCTATAAATCTATGTATTATCACTGTTGCAATAGCGTTCAGACTTTTGATCATTTTTTCAAGCACTTGAGATAAATATAAATTTTTATGTGCTAGTTGTTTTTCCCCCCAAAAAACGTCAACAAGTAGAAATAATGGTTTTAGAAAGACATGCCTAAGCTTAATACTTTACTTTGTCAGAATACAAACAGAACATAATCAGAGCTAGTTGTTTTGATTTGTAAACTTGATACAGGTATTTTAAAAAAGAGTATTACGAGGGTTTTCCATTGTTGAAGACTGAATCTTGCCTTGTGTCATTTGGTTGTTGTCTGGTTTACCACACTCCTGTAATACCAATAGTTGTGGTAATAGTTATATATCAATCAAGTTACCCGAATACTATATGGTACATGCAACCCGTCGATCGCTTTTGTTGATTTGTTTTACTCAACACTTCTTGTTGAACCGATGAATCTAAGGAGTTTAAAGGTAAACAGTCGTGTTGGTGGGTGAAGTGGTCTGTTCAGTATTTTTGGTGATTCCATTCATCCATTTATATATTATGTATTGTCATTTATTTTACTCTCTCCGCTCTCTGAAGCGGGTGGTATAACGTGATGCAGGTGTCTGTCTGTTTGTTTGTTCGTTCGTCTGTCCGTCCATTCGTTTAATCTTTCCTCAGTCCGTTCGTTTTTTCGTTCCAGTTTTGTATTTGATACTGCTTCTAAACGGGTTGGCATAATTTTGAAAACTTTTGCAAATTTAATTCTTATAAATTAAAATCTTTTAATTTCGTTTCATTATATGAATGATTTTTGGTGCTTACTTGAGCATCACATATACTTGTGCCATATTCGCACACTGCGATACACATTTGTGTCCTAAAACCCCAATTATATAGACTAGAATGAAAATAATTTTAAAAAGTCATTGTGCACCTCCTTTATTTGATCCGAATTTGTTTTGTGATTTCCCATAGGAATTCACGAACTTTTGTCATTACTTTATCTTGGGGTTGCCGTTTTGTACCCGTTACTCTTCATAATATAATAAATAAGAAGATGTGGTATTATTGCCAATGAGACAACTATCATCCATTCACAAAAATGACATAGAAGTAAGCAACTAAAGGTCACCGTATACGGCCTTCAACAATGAGCAAAACCTATACCATTAACCTTTATAGAATTTATTAAAACTTTCTAAAAATCTTAACCATTTATTGCTAATGTGTACTTCCCATTCTGGTTTTTTATTTCGAACTATTTTTCCTGTTTCCTTAATCAAATATTATAGAATATGTCATTGCTTTATGAGTCCGTGTGTGGTGGGGATGTATCGTTTTTGTGAGCTTTACTCGCCCCACCCCAGGTTTATTCCATAACCGTAATAACTGTATACTTACTATGCATATGAATTTACCAAATAATCAAACTGGTTCTTTCTCTTAGGCATAGCTAGAGTTGCACCTGGTGGTTCTTTTTTACACATTTTCTTTGCCGTTTCGAAAGGAGCTCCATCTTTGTGGTTATACATAGGCATATAACATTTACCATCATGTAACGTCCAGCTATCATATTTACAGGCTTTCAGTCCTGAAACTGTATAAAACGTATTTACAACAAATATTCACTGCTTTTCATTGCTTAATGTTAATGATGGTTTTATTCTTGTTTCTACAAACAAATTATTCAATTATGGATTGGAATTAAGAATTTGTAAACATTTTAGTGTTTGTTCTAACAAATATAGTAATGATATAAGCTGAAGATATAGAAAAGAAAAGTGATTTTCAAAGTTTGTTGATATGAATGTCAGTACTACAGCACCATTACAATACAAGTTATCCGTTGCAGAAGTGTGTTTTGGATCTTTCTATTCTAATATAATTAATTAATGTTCCAACAAAACTTAATACTCGGGTCAGTGTTCATCTTCAGTTTCAGTGTAAGAATTCTTTAATGATTTTAAATTCATCATGAGGGATTGAAGTTCTTCATAAGAACTTTAACTGCTGTAAGGATAGATGTTTTGTCGTATGATTAAGAACTTTAGAGCTTGTCGTATGGTGTAGGTTCTTTATAGCTTGTTGTATGGTGTAGGCGCTTTAGAGCTTTTCGTGTGGTACAGGCTATTCAGGCTTGTCATATATTGTAGGCTTTAAAAAAAGCAACAAATAGATATCACACGAACGATACCAATACATATGTCTTGATATTTGTCTTTACAGGTGTCATGCTAATTACGCACATGCGTCATGCCAATTACACGAACGCTATAAATCAAAAGCAGCAAGACAGGTGTACTAGCAAAGTAGAAAACATAAATTTGTATTGCCCTCGGATTGTGTGTTCCCATACCGACAGGGCGTAAGTGCGTGTTTTCGCACCGCGCTAAGTCAAATGAACGCTCCTATGATTGATTGGTTGCCTTTTGCTTAACCACATTCATTTTTCATTTTTGTCTTCGTCATTAGAGTGACTTATCATACTGTTTAATGAAAAAGTTTAGCCCATTCCTAGTGAACGGTTGTTAATATGAAGCAAGTGCAGTGTAATTAATAGTATACGTAGTTTAAAAATCATTGAAACAATGTTTAGAGTAAATTACTTGTTCATTGGTAATATGCTGAAAGTTTGTATATCCAATTTGTTTTTAGTTGATCACTTTTAATATATAAATTTAAACTGCAACTTGAAAAACATTTTGGACATTTGGTATTTATAGAAAGGACTAAACCTTTCGAAAAAGAACAGTTAAAACACACACACACAAGCAGACACACAAATAGAAAAAAAGGTATGACATGAATACTTACCAGTACGACGGCAATAATAAATCAGGATCAAGAATCGGATCATCGAAATGTGTCTTGACATTATATATCTTTTTTAGCTCACTTTCCTTTGCCAATAGTTGAATATTTTGTTAATGTTTAATAATGTTACATTATCATACGCATGTCTGTTGGATGTGGCGTGACAGATTCATCCTTTTTTTCTAGTTAAGTTCACCAACGAAGAAGAAAACATATCGATGACCAAACATTCTTTGTTTCGTTTTGCAAATTATTTTAATCCTACGGTATTAAAACGGATTAAACACATTGATCGACAAGATCTAAAGATGAGATTGAAAGAGAAAACCGATTATTAGACAGCTGGTTTCCACTAACTTCCTTAGTATCAGATAAGGACAATGGATTTACATGTGATGGATCTTTAAAAACAATGACGAAAGTTCTTAAACATTACTTCAATAGCAGTTTTGTACGAAGTGTTGAGACTAAAGATCCATTCTAAAAAAAAAAAAAAAATAACGTTTCAATGATATTTTTGTTACCAAGAGTGTAACGAGTACTCAATGACATGTGTTTTTATCGGAATTTTGATAATCCTCTTTCTCACGAAATAGCAAAGAAATATGGCGTATTAAGTACTGTTCCACCTTAGAACCAGGCAGATATTGAAGGATTACTGATACGTGATATTTTTTCAAAATGTTATATTTTGATTTTTATGAAATCTCTTTGATTGAATTTACAAGGATCTGTTTCTGGAGGTATTTCTTTCTCCTAAATAGCTCTACAAAAATGGGCACATTTCATCATTTTGAACCCAATATAACTATTAATAGCAGACAAATATTAATATATAATTAAAATGCATGACATTAATCCATACATGCACTTAACAAAACCTTAAGTTAACCAAAGGAACGGTGCTTTAATTGCTGTTCTGCAAATCAATCTTACTTTCTTACTGTTCAAACTTCTCCTATAGGAGTAGCCTGATATTCGACTACAACATGGCAGCAAGTTAAGATTGAACAACCGATGGAATCAAAATCAAGTGAATCATACTTCGTTGTTATGTTTTACCTTCCTTAATATAGTACATAACACTACAGGGAGATAACTCTGTAAAAGTCAGCTGAACGTTTTAATCATTTTCTATTGTTAAGGAAATATTAAGCTTCTCAATGATCAAAATTAGTGTTTGTCAAACTGCTATATATCCATTGAAAATTTTCCGATAAAGTGTGTGGTTCAAGTTTTTTCAAATTTTTACATTTTTGTCAAAGGGTCAAAGTAAATAGTTTGTCAAGATTTTATGAAAATTAAACGAGCCAAATTGATTTTAGTCAAGATGTTTGGTACCACCTTAAATAGAGTTTGCATTAGTTTTTTTGTGTCTAAAGGATTCAAATGCAGGATAAGAAGGTAAATCCAGAAAAAAGCTTAAGGTGGTACCTAACACTACAGGGAGATAACTCTGTAAAAATCAGCTAAACGTTTTAATCACGTTGTATTGTTAAGGAAATATTAAGCTTCTCAATGATCAAAATAAGTGTTTGTCAAACTGCTATATAACCAATGAAATTTTTCTGATAAAGTGGTTGGTTCAAATTTTTTGAAATTTTTATATTTTTGTCAAAGGGTCAAAGTAAACATTTTGTCAAAATCTTATGAAAATTAAACGAGCCAAATTGATATTAGTCAAGGTGTTGGGTACCACCTTAAGTGGCACCAAATTTGTAAAGTGTTATTATCATTGTCTTAGAAATTGGCATTCCACCATGCATCATGTATTTGAAAATGTCTTCCATAATTGGGTGAAACACACCCACACACTGGATCATTGATACATTTATGTCAACAGGACTATGCGAAGAAACAATTTCATAGTATGTGTGCTGGAAAAAGCTTATATTTGAGTTCATAGCAACGCACACAACTAAAGTACATAGGAATGGATATGGCTGCAAAGCAAATGTGCTGTCGGGATAAACAGTCGAACCACAAGATATATAAGCAAAGCTTCAAGCAGGCTTAAGAGTTTAGTCCTGAGGCATCAAGATATGTCATCATTTGCATGAGATACAGGTACAATTTCCTGAAAAAACCACCGTGCAGAAATAAAAATTTTGAGCTTGCCAAAGGTTGATAGACTCTTAGCCTCGTTAGGCAAGGTGTTCCATAGTCTTGCTGCCTCATAACCTAAGATTTTTTATCATACATTGTTGTTTTCGATCGTGGTATCATTAATTGATATGCCTTTATACCTAAAATTATATGCATTATCTTCAATGTTAATCAAATAATGTAAACAATCTGGACTGGATTTATTAATATTCTATGGGTCTCAAATGCCATCTACTTCTAGTTCACATGTGAGAACAATTCTCATGCATGTAGAACCAATTAAAACCGGATGTACAAATGAGAACAGATTTCATGTGAAAACTGTTCATTACTGGATGCTTTTTGTAAACAGGTTTACATTACGCAACGTTTGGTATGAAAACAGCATAAATTGAGGCAACAGTAGTTTACCGATGTTCAAATCTCGTCAACCGATCGATTAGGAAATCAAGGTATCAAACAAAAATTCGCATAAATACTATAAGGAGTTATCCTAGTGCGTCGACAGAGTCAGCTTCTATTTCATTGCATGCATCACCCGCCATGCGAATTCAGTAAAAATGTCACAATTGGGAATAAAACAAAATCGGTCAGACGACTAAACTATATATTTCTATTCCGTTATATTTCTATTCCGTTATATTTTGATTTTCCCTTATCTATTTCTATCTTTGATAACTGTGGAACTAGTTTGTAGAACAAGTTTTTAGAACTAGTTTGTAGAACAAGTTTGTAGAACTAGTTTGTAGAACAAGTTTGTAGAACAAGTTTGTAGAACTAGTTTTTAGAACTAGTTTGTAGAACAAGTTTGTAGAACAAGTTTGTAGAACTAGTTTGTAGAACAAGTTTGTAGAACAAGTTTGTAGAACTAGTTTTTAGAACTAGTTTGTCGAACAAGTTTGTAGAACTAGTTTGTAGAACAAGTTTGTAGAACAAGTTTGTAGAACTAGTTTGTAGAACAAGTTTGTAGAACAAGTTTGTAGAACTAGTTTGTAGAACAATTTTGTAGAACTAGTTTGTAGAACAAGTTTGTAGAACTAGTTTGTAGAACAAGTTTGTAGAACTAGTTTGTAGAACCAGTTTGTAGAACTAGTTTGTAGAACAAGTTTGTAGAACAAGTTTGTAGAACAAGTTTGTAGAACTAGTTTGTAGAACAAGTTTGTAGAACAAGTTTGTAGAACTAGTTTGTAGAACTAGTTTGATTAGTATCTAATTATAAGTCTTTGGTTAGTACTGCACGGGCATTTCTTATGCGGTATTACGGGTGGGGTTCTATAGTCATATATAAGTCCGATACTTGTATAGTATGTATCGAGGTGCTCACAGTAACTTCTAAGTACAACACGTTCTGCATAGTATATTATTTGCATTATATTATAATGATTTAGTGTAGAATAGCTAGATGTGTGTTTGTTTAGAGATATTTGTGATGTTTTTATTATCTTTATTAAATGTTGCATCGCACAGAAAATAATAAGTTACTGCGAGCAAACCAAGCCTACATTTTGACTTGCCTCTTATTTAGCCATGTAGATAGATTAGAAATGTTTTAAATTCGGACGAATATATGAGGGAGAATTTAAAATATCTTAAGATCTGAGACCGCGACAGAAAACAAGTCGCAGGTGAGAAAAGACGCCGACACTTTTTTCTTATTTCCTGATTGTTATCAATATCTCACAATTGTGTGGAATCATGTAATTTTTTACAGTATGTGCTTTAACAAAGTCTTTTCTTTTATTGAAAATACAGAGCAAGGTTTTTGTAATAATACAATTGTCCGCGAAATAGAATTTGGTTTTAGTCAATTCTTCAAATTGACAAAACACAATTTAATTGCGAGTTCCTGTGTGCTGTGTGTGATCATGTTTATGCTGTAAAAGTTTAAGTGTTGGAAAACTAGAACGAATTTTGACAACAATTAAGTGTGGAAGTATATACCTACCAGTTCAACTCTCTAAACCTCTTATATTTGTGTTTATGATATTAGGCTAGATGTAAGCAAAATCATTTTCACTTTTTTTTGCTTTTTGTCAGCACTGTTATCTCCATCATGTATGCCTAACTTACTATGCTTCATGCTAAACCCGGTTATGATATTTCCTTATATTTGTTTAACTTAAGTATTAAGTTTATAGCCTACGCATTTAAACTTTTAAAATAAGTTTAATATATATATATATATATTTTGAAACACGGCAAAGAAAACAATCGTATAAAGCGTTAAAATACATTTTGTACTATGCGTTACATGCACTAATAAATTCCTTATTAAGAGAGAGATCAAAGACCTGTCAAATGTTTAAACATGGAACTATGTTCTCTCTTTCGGATGAGTGCTTATTGAATTAAAAAAAAAAAAACCAGAACAAACACGAACTATATATAATATTTTGTGGAAAATTTCAATGGATTGTGTATTTAAAAAAGTTTACATTTTATCATGGTACACAAATGTGACATATTCTTTTAAAAAGGAGTGGTTACCCACGGTTATGGAGAGAAGTGAAAAAGCCATCACATGTAACACTGGAAGATAATTTGATGAAAAACATTCCTGGATGACATCAGATTCTTACTAAGGAGAAAAATAAAATTGTACTGACATTTTTTTGGAACAGTTAGCTCATTCTCAACAAAGTAGGTACAAGATTATCACGTACATTTATAAGAGTGTATTTTTCCAGCGTATATATCTTTTAAATATTTAATACTGTTGACTCAAATTTTCGTAAATTCGGCTGTGAGCAATAATACGAGATATACATTACTCAATTTCGATTATCTCTATTGTAAAATCTCTATAATAATATGACCAGAAAAGATATTAGATTTTTTTTCATAGGTACAGGAAAGTAAAGAATGTGAAATGATAGAATTGTATGTTTAAATTTGATTAACACTTTGATGTCATTGTTGGAATTTTAAGACATTGTTAGTTGTATCATTCATTTTAAGCACTTGAGATAAGATGGTTGAAAACTATCAAACATACTTTACGTCGTAACGTAACTAAACCCTCCAATGATATATTTATTAAATTTCAATTTGTTGCACCAATATTGGAAGCGTAATTAATCTTAAAGCTTACAAGCTTTCCAATATGATACCAGAAAGCTGTGTATCAGAACAAAACTAAGCTTATTCCAAGTTAAGATTGGTTTTGAATTATTAAACATATATAAATTATTTATACGAAAAATAATAATTCATTCCAGTATTGAACTGTATACAGAATCTTTGTAAATATAAACAACAGTGCCATATTTTTGGAGGAAGCATCCGGTTATTAATTTGGTGAAGTATGACGGGCGGGCGGCTGCCAACAGTTTCCGTCAATAACTTATGAACCGTTCAACCTATAAACTTTTCAAATTTTAATATGTTAATACTGATGACAGAACTGAGGCCAGCTTCGATATTTACGGTTTTCACGTTTACCGTTCAGGAGTTATAGTCCTTGATTACTGGAAAATGGCCCTTTATGGCTTTTCCGTTCAATGACTTATGAACCACTTGATCAGCGCTTTTAATTTTTTTTTTATATAGTGTTATTGATGATAAAATGGTGGTCAAGGTCGAAACTGACTTCTCACAATTTTGCAGTTCAGGAATTATGGTCCTTGATAGCAAAGCAAAATACTAACATGCGTATGTATCATTATAAATTGGTATTTATCCTTAAGCATACTATAGTTCAGTGGTTGTCGTAGGGTCATGTCTGTCATATTTGTTTTCGTATTTGCAATTGTTTTGTTATGAATTAAGCCGTTAGTTTTCACAATTGAATAGTTTCATATTTCATGTCGGGGCCTTTTATAGCCGACTATACGGTATTGGTTTTTATCATCATTGAAGGTCGTACGGTTGCCTATAATTGCTTACATCCACTTCATTTGAACTTGGGTGGATAGTTGTCTCATTGGTAATCATACCACATGTCCTTTATTATATTATTTTTTCATCTGTATTAAAACATCCGTAATTATCCCTACATATATTTATTGATAACAGACAATTTCGTCCCTATATATTGAAAAACAGAAATGTATTCTTCCTTACACACTAAGGATATATCTACGTCATTCATATTGAGAGAAAAAATCCAAAAGTCTTGTGTTTTGTGATGTTTCTATGGACGGAACGTTTTATACAAAATGGATTCGGGTCAATAATCATATTCATTTCATTTGAATGATCAGTAATAACATAATTATGTAAAACGTAATACATTTAAATAGTTTTTACATATTGAATTGTTTGAACTAATTGAACTCATGTTGACTTTTATTTTCATTTCTGTTTATTGTGCAATATCAATTAAATATTAAAAAATTATGAGAACCATCCGGAACGTATATCTTAAATAATCATTTTTCAGCAAAACTTCGCAATATCTAATTTTGTATAAGATATATTGAACATAACACAGAAATTTCATCTAAATTTTGTTCTCATTATACAGACGGAGTCTGCATAAAAGAAATTTGAAATATGTCGATAGATGCACAAACCCGATACGCTCGTTCCTCAATGTTGATTACTGATGTATTTCCTGAAATATTACGACAGTTTATCACCGTGCAGCACAATAACATGCCAGCACAGGCTCTTGAGAGAATGGTTTCTAGAGATAAAGAATTTCGTAATACACTGGACGCAGATGAAAGAAAGATGATTCAGTCGTTGCAATCTGGCAACTACGACGAAATTGACTTTAGTCTGTTGTACAAACTTATAAGATATTTCAAATTAGTCGACGAACCTACAAAAAGCTGGGGTAATACCCCAGATACAGATGACGTTAATGTCGGAGATGATACTGAAAGACTGCGGAGGTATAGAAATAAAATCACACACAAAACTAGGGCAGATATGACTGAAATAGAGCTAAACAAGTTGTTCTCAGATGTAACAGACATTGGAAAAAGAGCAGATAAATATCTTCAAAAACAGATCTTTGAAAAAGAAATCGAGAAACTTCGAAAGTGCTCTATGGACGAAGACATCAAGGAGAAATACATAAAACTTCTTGAAAAGTATCTCGATTTACAAGGTAATTAGTGAGATATTCTACGTATCTCTTCAAACAAAAGGGAGAAACGCAATTTAAGCTACGTACACTTTTAACATCTTTCGTTTAGCGTACGTGACAATCCAAATTTCAGTAATATGCATGAAATATTTGTCACTGGACGTTAAGAAAGCAACAATCTATCGCCCAACAGTCATTGCTTATTTTTAAAAAAAGCTTCACGAACCTTGATATTGACTCACCTGAATGAGAAAAGGTTTATTCCTATTACACTAAATTACGCAAATGTTATGATTGAAGTGGAACTGTCTCTAAAAAACTTTCTTAAAATTTATAAAGTAAGTTTACTAAGAAAACACACATGGTTAATATCGTAATAATCTTATAAATTTTCCATTTATTCTTATGTGATGTTTTTTGTTATTTTGTAGAGATGTACAAAACAAACAAAACCAATTGCAAAATATATCTCGGGAAAACGATAATCAAACGACTAGAAGATGGGACACTTGAACAAGGTTTGTTATCATCTGCACATGTTGAACATGTTTTAGATAATTTACAATCATTTAATGCAGCTTTACTGCAGTATTCTCGTTTTAATCAAGTTGACCGTATATTTCTATAATATGGTGAGTTTTAAAAACTGTTATTTGAGCCGATAAGAAATGAAATAAACTTTGATATTTAATAAGATAATCATATACTCAAACCAATCTTTTTAAATCTTGTTATCTGCAGATGAAACAGAATGTATGTTATACTTAAGAAAAGTGAAAAATGAGACTGATGCTGTTCATAGAATAAACGCTATCAAAGACGAATTGAACAAAGGAAATTATAAGGTAGTGTTACTAAAAGTTGAAGAAAGCAGCGTTCTGTTGAAATTAAGCGTACACAAAACAGCATTTTCAAGCAAAGATCAGTTTGAGAATGAGATATTATCGTTCTTAGAGAGGCTTTTTGGTTATAAAGAAGTGGTTGAGTTGCTGGAGAAAGAGGCAGAGTTTCTGATATCAATGTCAGATTACAACATCCCATGCAGTAAGTCTTTTTATAGATGTTTCATGTCAACTTTAAATCGTAATTGCAAGGGTTTGAAAACTATATACTAGTAGGTCATTATTGCCTAAAGGTCAAACTTTTTACCTTTAGATTTACATTTTCAAACTGTCTAACGTTGAAGTCTTATTATAGACAGCAAACATTATGGTCCAAGTTGATTGATATCGGATCATTTTTACCGTTGGAGAATGAAACTCAATAAACCAATTTAAATCCTGGCCGAAACAATATGTAACGTTTGATAGTCTATGCGCTTGTTGTATCAATCTGTTGCCGTCATCTTAACTGAGTTTAACAAAATTCTAACCTCGCTCCTTCGATTTGGACCAAATTTGATTTTAAAAACTATGTACTATTGTCAGATATTGGTTGACTCAACTGAACAGCTTACATATTTCAAGTTAATTCATACAAGTACAGTTGGTATATATGATGAAAAAAAAATAAATTAAAACAATAAACACAACAATACCACAGTAGGCTCTCTAATGAGAGTATCAGTCATTAAATTATCTGAATTAGCCATGATATATCAACCGAACGTTATTTCATTTACCTTCTAGTATTATAAGTGTTACAAATGGATAATGAATCACTTTTTAAGATAAAAGAGAACTGGTGGATGCTAAAAGCAAATTAGAATTTGATCCAAAGTCACAAAACTGGTTAAAATTGAACTTGCAGATGACCGATACAGACAACGATACCGAACGTGTGAAAAACAACCTAAAACAGTTTCTGGATAACTTAACCATGCTTGATTCGGAGATATTGGATTCAAATGTGGACGTCGTTCTCGAAACTACTGAGAATGCTGGTAAATAACAGGTAGAAAAGAATGAAACAATGTGCTGAAAAGGGAATAATAAAGCGGGATTTCAGGGGCGATACACCAAGGAAGCAGATTAAAAGTATACCACATATACTTCAAACACTTAAAACCAAAGCATTTGTCTTTCAAAACCATGTGATATCAAGGCACCCGTCGTATTGCTGATTGGTCAAGGCCTATGCTGAGTCAAATTCGGAATCAAAATCTGTGAAGGCAGATGAAACACCTATGAATATGTTTTATAGACAAAATATCAGACAAAAATAGTAACACTGTTTAATCATGTTAGTACTGTATGTTTATCAATTTTCCCATTGAATGATATTTTTAAACGCATATTTGAGTTGTCATGTAAACATGCGTTTCGTTGAGAGATTTCTGTCTTGAATTATGTATGCTAATATTCAAACCTCTTTCAGTCAGGCAAAAGAAGCAGGAATATAGGTTTGATTTATATCAATTATTAGAAATAATAAAAGATATCGAAACGATAAAAGGTAGGGGTAGTTGAAATGACAATTGTTAAGATGCCAGTGTATAAGTTAAATCATAAATCTATCGCTGCATTTGTAATGATATTTCATTTCATTTATTTGTAGGTCGTCCTTATTATTTGACATTACGTAAAGAAATTAAACTAAGCATAGCAACCGATTTCATGGACGGCATTTTGTTAAACAATCAGCTACTATTTACCGACTTCAAAGATAAAAGATTAATTATATTTGACATAGATGGTAAATTCATCAGAGAAATAATACTACATAACAGACCAGAAAGCATTGCCGTTGTAAGGTGTATGGACAATACGATTGCCTTGACCTTTCCTGAAGACAAACAAATTGCAATTATGGACGTCACATCCACCGAAACTTTAAAAATGATAAAAGTAAGCGGAAAATGTTGGGGAATATCTTATAATAAAAATTTCCTTTACGTTGCAATAGAAAATATGATAGAAGTACTATTTGTTGGCGATTCATTTGAACCAAGAGTAGAAAAACAAAAGTTTTCATTACCAACAAAAAAGGCAAAAGCTGCATTACGACAAGAGGAGATAATTTATTCTGTGCAGACGAAAGCAATCATACCATATTCTGCTGTGATCTCACTGGAAAGGTTATATGGCGATTTAATGATGCAATATTGAGGTGTCCGAAAAGTATGACAACAGATACCAATAGAAATCTTTACGTGCTAGGTTACTATTCAAAAAATGTTATTTTAGTGTCCCATGATAAGAGGTCTCATGTTCAAGTTCTAAAAGAAGCAGACGGACTTAAAAATCCTCGTGAAATTTATTATGATGACTCAGGCAATGGACTTCTTGTCTGTACGGCCGAACATGCTCTGTATTTTGACATTGTGAAACATTTGGAGACAAAGTAGTTGAACATCACCATGACAATGATATTTTCGTTGTGACAGAGAACAATAAGTGTGCACCGTGTATTGAAGTACGTATCCAAACATTCGCTATCATCCTTGACTCCTTGTAGTTTCGTTGAGTGTGACCCACAGGATACCAAAAGTCAAAAAGCAATTTCTTAACTCTCTGTAGTACCCGAGTGTTCCATTTTGAATTTGAAAAATCGGAACAATCACTCCTTTGTCCTCGGTCTTATACCGAATGTAGCCATCTTCTCCACTACGATGAAATCTATATAATAAAGAAGTTCTACTGTCAGAATTTATAACGTATTTTAAGATCATAAATGACTGCAATATAAGTATTTTAAACACAAAACCAAAGTTTATTTGCTTATTTGATAATTAAAATGTAAAAAATGCTGTAAGTTTTCAAAACAATAAATATAAAGCTTCCATGCAGTTGAAGATATAGACAACCAATCGTGCAGTGTTTGTGAAACTTTTTTTGGTCATCAAACACAGGGATACATCTTAACCAGAGTCCTGTAGTTGTCATTTTACAAAGATTAGTTGATTCAAGCATTATCTAGACATAAGTTTCTTAGTGAAAAGTTTATTTCCTTGAATCAAAATATCATTAGTAAAAATTCTATTCGGCTACTGTCAGTAAAAAGGTCGGTGCGTTTACACTAGTACAGATCTGAGAGTACTCGCAGTTACTGACACCTAGTTCAAAGCCAATAACAACTAATAAAAAAAATCATACATCTAAGACTAAAATATCAATCAGTACACATCCAATGGATTTAGTATAAAAAATATTAAAAGTCAGAGAAAACATGACCTTGTGCCATGCCAAAAGTATAGGCACCGACAGATTTTAGTACCGTTTGTTACGATCCACAATAAAACCTCGCGTCTGATTTAAGACATACATCTCTTTAAAGATCTTTTAGTTTAGTTATAAATCAACTGTTCTTGTCTTTTTAGATGGCAACATATCATTTGAAAGATACAAATTATTCTTTACCTACTAAGTAGTTTTGACAGCTTTGTACATTTGCTAACGCACAACCTATCTATCACTTATTATCAATAGTTCAAAACGTGTCGATATACACAAGAACCTAATAATTGGGAAAAAAATGTTTTTAAAAAAATCATCTCCATAATAAACTTTTTTGTTGTCTTGAATTTTTATACAATTGTATTCCAGTTTAAATTATTTTCTTGGACTTTTTTGTAGAAAGCTTTACATAAGGTCATATAGACATATGACTATTTAAACTTTTAGTCTTGAAAATGTAATGACACTTGCAATTTCAGCATTTAGCAGAAATTTTGAATCGCATCGATTGAAATTTTGGCATTTCATACAATTTGTTACACATTCTTACAAAAGAGGTTTAGTGCTCTAAGTTTATAGAAAAAATATTAATATTCCAAAAAATTAGCGTTTGTTGCTTAGGTATCAGAAATCTTTTCACTGAAAGGGTTCTATATTATAAATTTTGCCCCACATGATTTTCCAGGAAAATGACAATGCATTTAATGTGATTGATGCAACAAAAAAAAAAGAATTCAAAAAAGAGGCAGAATATATCAAAGTGACAATAAAAAAAACTTAATTCGAAGTAAAACAGGCAATACCAAGATCAACAAGAAAAACAACGGAAAGACCAACAATTGTCAACAAATTACTTCGATATAACATCTCCATTGAATATCAAAATATATATTTTAGGCGTCTACTATATGTACACGCTGTAAAATATTTTTGTCGCAAGATGAATGGACGATGTAAATAGAAAATAGAAAAGAAATATCTATCTTACCTTTCTTGTTTTCTTTGATTTATGCACTTTATATGATTTGAAGCAACGTTTCAACGTTTATTGCGTATAAATTCCTTGAAATATTGAGGTTATTCCACAGACAAAATGCAAACAACGTAACTTATCATAGCTTTGGTAAATCTCCAAGCACAAACATAAATTGTATAACCTTCTTTATTAGACACAACAGCAGTATTGTCTTAACAATGTAAATTGACAGCAAATACATGCATTTTTCTGTGTTACAAAAAAAGGCGAAAGATACCAAAGGGACATTCAAACTCATAGGTCGAAAATTAACTGACAACGCCATGGCTAAAAAAGAAAAAGAGCCAACAGACGAACAGACAAACAACAGTTCACAAAACACAATATAGAAAACTAAAGACTGAGAAACACCAACTCAACCGAACACTGGAGGTGATCTCAGGTGCTCCGGAAGGGTAAGCAGATCCTGCTCCACTTTTGACACCCGTCGTGTTACTCCTATAAAATACGTTGATAAGTTAAATCAAGTGATTAGACATCACACGGTAGCAGACTGGTACTTGACTCTTAACCCTAAAACTTCACCAAATTCTAGACCATCTGTCATGTAAAATGTTCAAACCCTGAAACTTGACCGAATGTGAAATTTTGATATTGAAACACGTTTTGTCATGACAAAGCATAGACGAGACTGCTATCGGTATAAACAACACAAACATTGGAAAATTAAAAATCACAAAGAACAACACGTATAACTAATGAAAGAGCAACACGAACCCCTTTAAAATAAAACGTGGGGTGTTCATAGGTGTTCCGGAATGGTAGGCAGATCCTGCTTAACACGTGGCACCCGTCGTGTTGCTTATGTTAGTACAAACCCAGTGATAAGTCTAATTCGGTAGGTCACATTCGGGTAAATGGGGACGGGACTGTAGTTACGACAATTTGAACATATCCGATGTTCATCTGTAAAACAGATATTCCATAACGGTCAACCCACTCGTGATGACGTCCGTAAAATTTACGAAGGAATGATTTCAACTTCACTACTTGGAACTCTTGGTTTAATAGCTTTCTTGTTAGCAGCAACTCTCTATCAAGGAAATCATGATAGGAAAATTCAAGCCCTGGAATATCGTATTAACTGGGAGATATATAATCCGTATGCAGGCGCTGCTTGAATGTTGCTACATAGAAATGGAAAGTTCACAATATGGAAGCTAAAAGCATCCCTTTTGTCGTAAAGTGTTGTTTTCAACCGACCCTCATTGTCAATTTCTAGATGTATGTCAAGATATGAGGCAGACTTAACTGTATATGCTGTATCCTTTACCTAAAGTTCGATGGGATAGATGCGTTCAACATAGTCACTAAATTTTGAGTTATTTAGTGAGAGAACATCATCTATATAACGGAAAGTACAGTTAAGGATACTGCTAACTTCTTTTCTTTCTTCCTAAGAAGTTCCTGTATAAAGTCAGCCTTATATGAATAAAGGAACAAGTCGGCAAGAAGTGGAGCACAATTGATTCCCATGGGAATGCCGATTGTTTGTTGAAAACCACGTTCTCCAAACGTAACAAATATGATATAAATCAAGAAATCAAGCATCTTGATAATGTCAGTTTCAGTGAATTTTTTGTTTGAATCGGAGTGATTTTTTACAAAGTACGATTTATCCCTCCCTAAGACAAGATACATGTATCTACGTTGGCCATCTTTTTTATGAAACAAAGGAGGCCCAACTCTTTCAATTTGTATTTTAGTTTGGAATAGTCTTAACGTAGACTAATTGGGTTATTAATTATAAAACTTTAAATTGCACACTATGTACTTACCATATTTGCCAACCTTAAGGGGTGTTACGTGCACCCGTTTGCACCCCCCCCCCGGATCAGATGTTACCCTGCACTTTAGTGTTTTTGCAAAAGAAAAGATTCACGGACCCCTTCCTTTATCATATACTGTGAATGCCGTCTGCATTACATTACATTTGTAACATGGAAGAAAAATCTAATATAAAAAAAAGAGATCAACGATGAAAGTTACCCTCTGGAAGTTTTTTTTTTTTTAATTTTTTGTCGTTGGGTAGTAATCTCATTGAAAAATACCCACATCTTCTTTCATCTATATTTAAGGGACTATTTCTGTTCAAAACAAAGATTAAAAAAAAACAAAACTGTGCAATGCTTTTAGGAGGCGTGCGATAAAGATTTGAATGATCTCAGACACATCGAAAAGAAAATGTAACACCTATAACACATTGCATGAAATATAAATGAAAAAGAAAATGTAACACCTATAAACACATTGCATGAAATATAATATCCAGTGCAAAATATACGCTTTAAAGTTTATCATCTGTACCGGCATGTTGACAATCCTTTAACTGTTGTGAACCTATTTGTGACAAGCCACAAGATTTCCAGGCTTATTAGGATAGCTGGCCACAGACCACAATTAAATTCTCTATTAGTTCTTTATAACGTTTTGTTTCATTAAAAAAATGTACCGATTCTTTTTGTCAAATATTTTGTGAGTGTAAAGTACAGTACTAGTCCAAACATATATCCAACATTCAGAAAAATTGCTCCCCAGTGTCGTACAAATTTAGCCAATACACATCCATACCCCTATGGACAAGTCAAGAGATGTTCCGAAAACTGTAAATATCACCTTTTTGCACCTGGCCTAATCACTCTTTCCATATCAAAATCAGTTAAAATACAACATCCAAAAGTTTATTTCGCCTCTCTTCTTTCATTTCCATCCACAAAAAAACTAAGAAATGAGTGAGGAAGGGAAAGAAAAAAAATAAGAAAAAATACTCTTTAATTAAAAGGAACTGTATTCGTATTGTAATTGTGGTCTGGGACCAACTATTCTTAAATAGGTTAATTGCATATACTAAAAGGAAACAACATGTAAAGTTATTATTAGAGATTTGTTGAAAGAAGTAGTATTGGAATGCGACTAAACAGTCTATTAAGACACATATGAGTACGGCAAATTTCCATGATTCTATTTCACACCAGGGCCATTTTCAAAAGGTCTTTCAATCTATACTCAAGTTCATAGTATCACCAAGGGTGTGTATAGTTAAATACTATACAAATCCTTGGTATCACAGCCAAATATGTGTACTTTAAGGTTTTAGAAATATTCTGGCTTATTTTTAAACGTGTGGTCAAATTATAAACGCCTATAGAATGACCAAAACCGCACATTTGAGTATGTATCCAAAACATGTACAAGAAGGACATCGTTAAGCAATATTGAAAATCTATTAGACGTTAATCTATGTCTTGTCCTCTGGATACAAATAAATTCATTTTGGTTAGCGATGTCCTTCGATACAAATTTGACAACACTATGTAAGCTTGGCAATTTTGTATGAATATGTCTTCAACAGCAATATACAACGATGAATATCATTTTGATTTTGTGGAAATGTGTAAAATTGTTAAACAGTATGATAAAGGCTTTCTAATGAGGGTCTGGATTGAGAGTACTTAAATTTCTTTATTCTTTAATTATTTAGGCCATTTTTCTCCATTCTTTATAAATTTTGCCCATAATTCTCTATTCTTTATATCATAACACTCCATTATTCTCTATTCTTTATATCATAGCACTCCATTGTTCTCTATTCTTTATATTTTTGGCGCTATTTTTTCTCTATTTTTAATTTTTTTGTGCTCATTTTCTGTGGAATTGGGCCTGCATACACAAATCTGTAATTCTCTATCCATACCCTCTGTTATTTTCAAATATCCGTGGGAAATAACAAGTTTAGAATTTGACCCTGTAAGTGAAACAAGTACAGGGGAGATCATCCCTACTCTAAATTTAAGATGTATTAATTTTACTGCATAACAAACAGTTCCTTGCATTTTTCTATTATCAGAAAATGTATTCGGACTTGTTGTAATGAAGTTAGAATAGATATAAGAAGATGTGGTATGAGTGCCAATGAAACAACTCTCCATCCATGTCAAAATCTATAAAAGTAAACCAATATAGGTCAAAGTACGGTCTTCAACATGGAGCCTTGGCTCACACCGAACAGCAAGCTATAAAGGGCCCCAAAAATTACTAGTGTAAAACCATTCAAACGTAAAACCAAAGGTCTATATAAATATAAGAATATGTGGTATGAGTGCCAATGAGACAACTCTCCATCCAAGTCAAAATTTATAAAAGTAAACCATAGTCTAATCTATATCAAAAAGGAGAAACGAGAAACATTTATGTACCACATCAACAAACGACAACTACTGAACATCAGAAGTTTGTATAACATTTGTTTAAATGGTGAAGCTTGTAAAGTTTTTTTTGTCTTTTCATTTTGACATGGATTCATGATGCATG